GGGTAGACGAGCCGAATGCAATCTGTGAGGCAGACACTCCAAGAAACACTGTGCGCCGGGGAGAGAGCACAGATACGAAGGGGAGAGCTCATAGCAGCCGTACAGACGCAGATACCGCAACAGTGGGTGGGCATTGAAGCATGTGGCATGCACCGATGGAAGTGATAGTATTATAAAATATAATATGCACTCTTGCTACGCTTCAAAATGTGAAATTAGTTCCACCTCCTCGGTTACCCGAAGCAACTTTCTCTTTCCTTCACAAAAAGCATGTTTCTTTTCTCATGAAAAGTGCATTTGTGAACCTATTGGCACAAATAGTATCAAAACTACCGCTGACAGACTAAAAATCCAAAGGCTGCAATTAGACTTTTTGGAGAGTGGTTTCCAAGGCAGTCGATATCCGATATCGACGATTTTGATAATGAGGGTGATTGCTGCACTTCACCGTGCAAATGTCTGCTCTGCTCGTGGCAGAAAAACGGATTTGATCCTTATTGACAGACAAAGACGTGCAGCTGAACGTGTCAGCACCATCTGAAAACGACGGGGTTACACAGCACAATGGGCGGACGCGACCGACAGAGGTGTAACCCTCGAGATAGGAGAACAACTGCCTCGGCTGGCTTATCGACACATTCACCATCATCTCCTTCCAGCTCAACGTCGACAAGGCCGATTTCCTCCTTTTTTCAGCCATTCACTCATTCGTTTTCATATTTTTCCGTAGTTAAGCAGCCACAAAGAGTAGAAGGCCAATAATACCCTGTGTGCGCTATATTTTGACTTGCGTCTTCTTCAAGAGGTAACTTTTGTGCAGTGACTAATGAGTCGTTTTGGTCCCATCGTATCTGCACCTTATTTGTGCGCTTGGACATCTCCGGTGCTACGAGTCCTAGACGTTACGTTCTAATTTTGTCCAACAGTTGTTCGCCCAACATTTTTGATCGTTGAGGAGAAAAATTTCGAAAGAGCTGCATCAATCAAGTAACTAGCGAAGTATTGTCCAGCTACTTTGAAACTTTCTAGAAGCTTTTTTCTCTGAATCCTATGCTAGAGAATAGTTTCAACAACATTTCATCGGTTTATTTCCACTTTTACGCTATTTCTTCAATCAGCACTTCTCGATGAGAAATTGTGATGTAGAAAGTGATCAAATTTCAACTTGAGGATCTCAATCATCGATGGGTACTTCTGTTGGAGGAAAGTTGGTCTTTTTGCCAATCGATTCCCTCATCTGGTGTAGCAAGTCAGAATATTGGAGTGAGAGTCGCCCGGCTAGCACTGCTGTTAAGCTGGGCCGAACGACTATTTTTATGTTAATGTCAACAGGGTTGAATAGAAACAAGGCCTTACTCGGGGTGAACTGCTGCTATTATTACACCATTGCTGTATATCTTAGACTAGTCTACCTTTCCTATTGCTTGGGTTTATTTTTGTGGCTCGACCATAACGAAATGTTGGAGAGACAGGGGTGTGGGTTGAACGTCACTTTCATGAGCAGGAGAGGAGCGGAATTGGAGCAATGGGTTGAAGACTTAGCGCGGAAAAGATAAGGGTTTTAGGGGTTAGAGGGTATTAGGGTATAGGTTAAGTAGGTCGTAAGATTGTATGCCGACGTCTGTCGGCGCACGAACTTGCGTAAGAAGGGCAAAGACTCGTAAGGCTTAGGTTGTTTTCCACGATTCTCCCTCCTCATAACCCCATAAACCGGGACACGAAATGATGTCATCGGTCGAATACGCTCTCACTTATACCCATGCTCTCTCGTCACTCTTTCCCCGTCGTTCTTTCCCCTCTCCGCGGCGCTCAATATCTCCCATCTCTAACCCTCCGCAACCTAGAAGAGGAATGCCTCCATTTTGAAAGCTCTTGGTGTTTCGGTTCCCTTGTTTTTCACTATCGGTCGATTCGCACGTACCTACCGTACCTTTCATTTTCGGGCATAATAACCATAACAGCCGGAACAAGCCTTCGAACCGTGAACCACGGAACACTAGGCTGTCTCAAAAAATATTCCAAGGGGGCCCGAGACTAACTCATGTTGAAAAAGTTCACCGTTTCTGAAGAAAGCACAGGGCTCCACCAAATGCTTGTCCCATTCTTGATTTCACCCTACAAAAGGCAAAAGGGTGGAAACAGCTGCGAATTGAGTGTGAGGTAATGAGTCTCAAGATCCTTTGTGCATGAACACATGGAGCAGTTGCCGACATCTGTGATGCATTTGCAATCGACCAGCTATTGAAACACTTTTAACGGGCTTCTCCGCGGGCGTTTTTTCTCAACTCCGATTCGCTCCCAGTTCGCTCTGAACTTTCACAAATTCACTTTCAGCTCCTTGGACATGTCCGAGTACCTCGGATGGAGGGATCGCGTACCGCTAACCAGATCGCAGTCAGCATCACTCAAAGAACCAACCGTTTACGGTGGACCGGTGACTCACAGCTATGAGAACTATGTGAAAAACATATTTCATCCAATGAATCGACTAAAAAAGGTGAGCTTGAAAATTGGCCAGTGCAAGAATTTCAAGACCATTCGATTTGTTCAGGACAGTTCGCAACTCGCTGCTGATCACGGTGTGTCTGCCACTAATATGCTGAATATGGAGCGGTCGTTGGGTCGTTACGCCCTTGACGATTCCATGGATGCTTTCGATGACAGCAACTCATTCCTGAAAACCCCTCTGGAGGCACTATACTCAGAGCTTGGCCTTAAATCATCAGAAGTGAAGAATCTTGCCTAACCTTTAGCCAATTGAATTTTATTAAAGACTGCTCCTTGCTGCTTTAAAAACTCTTTGTTCAGCATGCACTTTATCGCCAGTTTCCTGTCTACATTCCGAAACAATCGAGTGAATATTTCGCCATATCCCATGGAGCCGAACGACGACCCGATCGATACTCGGTACAATTTTTGACATTCGAAATTTTTTTCTATTAAAGACAAAGCCCAGGATAACCAGCCAAGTGATCCTTTCGGTAATGGAACGCCGCGCGAGGAGGGCGCTAGGATCTTACTAATGCTTCCTAGTACCGGCCGTGACCGGTAGTTGTTTGAAGGCAACGGCCTATTCTCTGCACCCTCTTCTACAGCGTGCTCCCCGCGTTTCCCGTTTTCTCTGCTCGCTCTCGCTCTCCGTCGTACAATACCCGACTTCAGAGAAAATTTTGGCCTAATGTCATGTGTTTTGATGGCTTCCTGCTGCTTTGTTATTTTTTTTTTTACACTCTCATCCCACTTCCACACCCCCCATTTTCGTTGTTGAGCACCCTTACACACTTGATTCATCCCTGGGCTTGCCATTGATTACTCTTTCATATGGTACTGACAAAAAAAACTACCAAATCGTTACTTCTTTAGAGTGCTGGCTGCTACTCATCTTATCGCGAGAAAGATGATGATGAATACGCCAAAAACAACCACAAAACCCTCATCGATTACAAGAACTTTGACAGGTTTGTTTGACACACTTGCAATTATTTAGATTGGGAACACCCCTCGGTGCATGAGCCCTTTAAAGCATTCTTTGTGAATTTTATTTGTCAAGTGGATTTATTCTGAGTTCGTACATGTACAAAAAGAAAAAAGATAGAACATCTGCAATGGAAACGGCCTCTTCCGAGAATGCGCCATTCACTTCTAGGCCACCATTCATAGATGTTTTACCATATGGGTAATGCTTACCCGAATCAGTGTGACCACTGTATACCCAAAGAATTTCATGCGAACGAGTAATTAAGTACATGAGTTTGATGTCATGAATCTTTATAGTTTAGTATTTTTATTATGCTTGTTTCCTAACTAGGGCCCAAGATGGGAGGAGAATTTATTCGGCTAACACTTCAGCTGGTCGCTCCGTCGGAGCCTGGAAAGTCAAAGATTAGTCGCAATCTACCCTCAGACGCTTCGGAAAAAACCATAGACTAGAAGCACCAAGGAGTAGGGAGGCATGCCAAAACGACGTAAGCAAACCAGCCCTTTTGGCACATCGGCTGGGACCGTATGCTGAATGTTGGGGAGGGGATGGGGTCCCCAACGGTCGACGGTTTACTTCAACTCGGTTGGTACGATAGGAGAGTACTGACGCAAGTGGTGCAGCTGGTCCAGCAGCTCCGCCAGAAGGGCTGGTTTGCTCACCCCAGGACTAAGCCTTGGAGAGGGGACGGACCCGTCCTCTCTTTAAGGCTTAGTTCTGAGGTAAGCACCAAATTGTGGCGGTTCTAAGGACCGAGTTGAAGTGGTCCGTCCACCGTCGGGGACTCCATCCCCTCCCCAACATTCAGCATACGGTCCCAGCCGAAGCGCCAAAAGGGCTGGTTTGCTTACGTCAAATCAATCATCGCCCAGCGAGTCGCCTGAGACAGTGTAAACGTTGAAGGGTCTGGAGTTACAGGTGACCAGACCACATACGCTAGCCGCGTCAACCTTGTACCATTGGAGTGGCTCGCAAAACATGCATAAATATCATCAAAAGTTCTAAAGCCTCCAAGTCGGTCTTTTAAATCACTAGTCATGGTTTATACAAGGCAGACATTTGCTGGGGAGCTGCTAGAGTGTCTTCGTTTTGTCTATCTCGATTTATCGGGAGAATGCTCACACTGAGAGCTCGAAAAAGGTAGATGAAAACTAAAGGGAAAACGAAACCTCTACACATTTCCCAAGTTCAAACAACAGCCTGGAGCACTAGCCACTTCCATGCTAATAACTCCCGCAAACCTCCTTTTAACTGAATTTCAGTTTATGTTTCGTATCTGTAACCTACTGCTGAAAACTGTGGATCATGCATCTTTGGGGTGTCCTCAATAACAACTGTGCGTGCATGTTGCAAATCCCCTTGTCAACTACAGTGCGTTTCAAAAGTATGTGCACACCCTCAAAATTCACGTTTGAAAGGGAACCATGAGGTTTCGTGCTATGAAATCCTTCTCAATCGATTTCTCGTAGTCGATAACCTATCAATGGAAGCAAAGCAGATAATATCGCCTTCACTTTCGAAAAAAAATTTTTGGATGAAATTTTTTTCTTTGTTTCAAAAGTATGTGCACACTTAACAAAAGACAAAAACATAGCTGAGATTAGAAATCAGTGGGGCCTCCAGAGTTTCTAATTAGCTCAAACATCCTGTCCGGCATAATCTGAACCACGTTTGGCATAGCTGTTTCGTCGCTGTCGGCCCAAATAGCCTCTACCGCCGCCTTCAGTTCATCCGCGGTATTATACTGCCGGTTGCTAAAGTTAACGCCTTGATCAAGGGCTCCCTATAGGGTTGCAGTAAGGAGGACACACAAGCCAATCTATCGCTTCAGCACCATTTGGTTAAGGCCATTCTTTGGTAGATTGCGAAGCATCGAAAGACACGTGGTCCTGTTGCTAAAAATGCAATTTTCGCTCCGCTTCGCTAAGAAAGGTCAACAGGTGACATTGGAGCACTGCTTGGTATTCTTTACAGTTCATACGCAATAATGGAATGGCAACTTCTGAATTTCCTCTGATTGCGAAACCGCCGCAGACCCATCAACGGGCCTCTTCCGAAATTCCTTCTCGAGAGCACGAGCGACTCACGGCCAAGCCTCTCCAGTAGTAGCAAAATCCACCCGGCCCGTCAAGATCGAACTCTTTCCATGAGTTAAGATTACCTGAGGAGAGAAAGTTCCATAAAAGTTGCTTGTTTTGAAAATAGGAAATTCTCGAAAAAGCGTGTCTTCTCCCGGTGTCCTATCCTATGTTGCCGTGTCTGTACGAGCAGACTCCAATGTGGCTAACTTGTGCTGGGCCTTGAAGTGAGTAGCCTTTCTCAGCGTCTGTCGAGTGGTGTATTCATTTGAGCGGATGAGGGACTTAGTGGTCATTTTCGAGGCTGGAATAAAAATCTGAGCTCGGACTGTCAATGAAGAATTCCGACAGGATGTGTGGCTACTCTTTTGTTGTTCTGAGCAGTCAAGGATCGTGGATGGAGCGGAGTGTGTGCTGAGTATAATTATCAGGGTGCCAGATAAATCTTCGAATGCATTAAGGAGAACGACCAAGTTATCGTGCGATTTCTAGATTGGAACGTTCATTATCATGCAGAACCTTGATCTGAGCTTGCTCATCTTCAGGAAGAAGTATGGCGCGAATTGACATGATGACGAAATGAAAACAGCAAAGTCGGATTGAAATCGGTGGAAATTCGGCGCCAAAATCTGATCTTCTTCAAGTGTGCACATACTTTTGAAACAAAGAAAAAAATTTCATCCAAAAATTTTTTCCGAAAGTGAGGCGATATTATCTGCTTTGCTTCCATTGATAGGTTATCGACTACGAGAAATCGATTGAGAAGGATTTCATAGCACGAAACCTCATGGTTCCCTTTCAAACGTGAATTTTGAGGGTGTGCACATACTTTTGAAACGCACTGTATATCACAGGGCAACTGTCATAAGAGGCTCGAAATTGAGCATAAATCATCAAGTCTGATTTTTTTGAACCGAATTATTTAATAATCCCATCACTTGAGACGAAAAAATATGACAGTTGCCCGAAAAAATATATTAAAGAAGAGACGATTTCTTCCAAGACAAAAATAACCCTTTTTGTGCATTTTCTTTTGACTCTGGAATGCGTCCCCGCTTGGGCCCCCCCTAAAAGTAGACTCGAAGCCTCTAACCAATTCGTATGTCACTCTGACGTGTTGTTATCTTCAGAGCTGATGAGCATCAATATGCTTATGATGGCTTCATGTAGTAAGTTTCATGCAAGTGTACTAGATAACCTTGGTTAGAATTCTCTCCACTCACATAAACCACTAGCTTTCCGCTAGTCACCACCTAGTGATGGAAATGTAGATTACTAGATTTTTTAAGTTCGTTGTAGAGTAGAGAAATTTAAGTTCTCTCTGATTACGTTTGCCTTCACCTCCGTCCTACCAAGAAAGTCTCCCACATTCAAAACGCTTTCCTTCATTCTGGGTTTACTCTGTTTACCTTGACTTAAAGGCAGCGATTACGACAAAGTGGGAGCGCATCGCGGAAGCATATGCACCACACGAATCAGTTACTTGGCTGCCAGGGAAGCGAGGTGTAGCGCTTTCACGACGCAAGGTTCGCTGGTTGCTGAGCAGGACTTCGAAAGCACTCCGCCCCCAAAAGCGATCCGCCCACTGGTTTAGTTGGTGATTTGGACGAGCTGCGTTGCCAGCAGCATGGCACAACTAAAGCAACTCGACTGTGGCATGGATTGGGGCATGCTGTTACCTGTTCATGAGTGAAAACTAACGGCCAAAAAAGGGGTCCCGTTTTGCGTTTTCTTGACGGATTTCTCCGCTTTTTTCGCTACTGGCGTACCACTGAGCACCACCAGTCTCCTATAAACCCTTCTTGAATCTATCGTAATCACTGCCTTTAAATGACCTGCATTCTCTCTTCGCTATATCTTAAAACTACTCCTGGACCAATACAAGACAGTTACCAAGCCCACAAGAACATTTCAATAGGATCGACCGTGCTTTTATTGAGGAGAGTCGCACTAATGATTATTCCGAGGGCTGTCACATGTGGGCTTCGGGCGGGCCCATTCGTTCGCTGGGAAAATTCCAACAAGGATGTATTTATGGGGATGAAATGGAGTAGGAGCGGGGGTTTTTTAGTGAGTGGGGGAATTTTAGGAAGGGTGCACGGAATGGAAAATTACAACATTCGCCATCACCACACTAATATAAACTCCCGTTGAAAGGCAATTTCACAGAAAACGCTTAGGTCCAGCCTACTACGAAACATCGCATAAAAGCATGAAGGATTCGATAGAACAATTCCGTCGGGATGGTTAGTATTCAGATTCCCACCCGTGGTTGGAAAAATTTCAAACGTGAATCATAAACTAAAAGATGGCCTGTAGAGGTAGCTTGTTTACTCCATTTAAAAGGAGCATTTAATTGAAGTAAGGCAGCCTCCAAAATGATCAAATGATTACTGAAAATCCCGGTGGGAAGGAAAAGAAAGGGCGGGAACGCTATACTGCTTTTTTGAAGATCACGGAACATCAAATTTAGACGATTTCGTTTTCAATAGCGTAGAGTTTTCCACGCAAATGTTCAGCAATGGCAGTTGTTTCACAAAATCGCCTTTTCAGCTCTCCCCTTTCTCCGTATCTCTACAGAGATCATCCGTATGTCAGGTCGCAAGACTCTCGAATCATCGGATCAAATTTCGTGCAGGTCAGCTTTCAGAATTACTACAACCTTATAGGATTGCAATCATTGCCGGCTAGGGTAGAATTTCACGTGCAGCTGCTGTAGTCCCACTTCTCCCAATTTGCTTCAATTCCCACTCCATGTTAGACATTTTGGTGGAACTGTGAAAGACATCACATAGCTCGAATTTTCATATTTGCAGGTGACATCTCGTCCGAAAGACCGTTTTCTCGAGAAGGTTGAACAAACGTTGGCTGAGGTGCGAGCGATGCCAAGATACACTTAGACTTCACGACGAGTTTCCTGTCACGCTCTCCTTGTAAAGAAATGTTGTCACCACTGTCATGATTGCCTTTCATGTGGGGATTTAGTTCCCGAATGGAACCAATAAACGAAAAAAAAAACTGTCATTGCTTGGTTTCTCTTAGGGTGCTAAAAAGGGGTCCGAAGTTTTCAAAACATTCCGAAGATCACTCGTCTCCGAAAAAAAGGTTAGGGTAAGAAGGTAAAGGAAAGCGAACAAAGTTGGCAGTGTAGTGAGGAGAGTCCTTATTACGCTTGTTCGGTCTGTGGATCACAGCCATTTGGACCACTCTGCTACTTTCCAACCTGCGTTGGGCTCGTTGGTGGTGAACTTTACAAACGGAATGCTCAACCCGATCCGTGACGTTCCCGATAAATCAACGGTCAGATTGACTGCCCCTTAAAATATTTCTATGAAGATTTTGAATGGTAATCAAATGAATACAGGGTTGACCACAAATTACGGTAACAAAATGACTGGTTATGGGGAATTTACAGCCAGAAAGACAATTGAATTAACAACTGTATCAATTAAAGTCCATTAAAAAACATTTACATTCCAAATTTGGTGACGTCTGCATTGACGAAGGAGCGAGGTATTCCCACAAAATGGTAAACGGGGAATTTGTCCCAGACAGGCACTTTGGAACTGGCGCTTTCTCCGCTTACAAACCTCCATTCTCTGAAGGCTTTCTGTACTCTTCCTCCCTAAATCAGTTAGCAATCGGTCTAATTTGCAAAGTGCAGGCGGCTCTTGTTACTGTAGTTTATGGCCGCCCTGTAGATCACTGCATAGAAACTCACCCCTGTAACTAATCAACCACGCGTTGCGCAGTCACATCGAGGAGGGGGAGGGTGAAGTAATCGTATTTACGATTGATTGAGGTCAAATGGTTGGAAAGGGGGGTCGTATATTTGAAAGCTGAAAGTTGAAGGGGTGGTGGCGGCGGTAGAGGGGCCATTTCAGAAGGGTTTTCACATAATTAGGCAAGAACTTCAAACAAGAAGTAAGAACCACAAATTTACTGCTAGGAACTATTATGGTAAGGTTGCGGTCGGGTACAGAGAGGGGAGGGGGCATTTTGAGGGTCTTCCCCAAAGCCGCTGATGATAGGGGATCGTATTGACATCCGCGGGGTAGTGGGGTAGGGTGGGGAGTTCAGTGGTCGAGTTTTGTAATTGGAACACCGGTTTGACCCAGCTGTTGCTCTTGTATATTTCCCAAACGAGCTTAACTTTATCCAGACCCCTCTTGAAGAGATGACGCTTATCTTGAAAGCGAGCATCACATATGAATTGACTAGATCGATTCCCTTGAATTACACCCTTTGTTCTCGAGATCGGAATCTTGCAGAGGTGTCCGAGCCTTTAGCCATCTGCGACGCACTGGCTTTTCGTATAGCATACATTATACGAAGTTATACGAGCCTTAGCCATCTGCACGCATGGCTTCCTCTAGTATGCATTTGCTGCATAAATGATTGCAACAAAGCGTTTTTTTTTCAATTACACAAACCAAAGATCTGAAGGGTTTCCTCGAGCAAAAATCAACTCATGCAACAATTTGCTCTTTGATGTCTAAAACGTATCCCTGAATTGAACGTGGGTTGGGTATACGTGGAAAATGACACAGAGAACTTGTTCTCGGGAACAGTCTTGCATGGCAGATAGGATTCGTGCAGGTAGTGTTGTTCTACCTTTCCAGCTGTCTTCAATTATTCGTTTGGGTGTCTTTTCAAGAACTCCACAAGAATAAGGCTCACCATCAGACCATCGGAACCATGCCTATGCAATTATAAGGTCCTTTTTGAGGAGAAGAACACAACTGGTCCAAATTTGTGAGGAAGAACTTTCAACGCCTTCTTATTGCGCCTCGCGGCACTATTCATGCGATGCCAGGGAACACCACAAAGTTCTTCAACACACACATTTGCTCATATTCAGAATCCTTGAAAATCTGAGTCCTTGAAAAGCCGACTTTCTTCTTTGCTATCAGCTAGCGAACAGGTACAACTTTTACCAAAAAAAACGTCCGGATTCAATTCATTTTTTACTCCAAAATAGAGATCTGTAGTTTTTTGAGCCCTTTTCGGATGATTTAGTTGGCTCATGGAGAGAAGTTCTGCTTCGCCTGGAAGCAGTCAGGAAAGGATTGTTATAAAGGACTCTCAACGATATAGGATGCAATTCCTCTAGCACTATCATTGTTAAAGAATTAGTCTCATTTTTCAAAAACTGAGAAAAGGGCGGTCACACACGTGTAGACATAAAGAAGGCCAAAAGGGAACGGTATGGTTGCCAGAGTGTTACAGAAAAATGACCAGCCCACAGGCCATTGCAGAAGATGTTAAGATGTAATTCTGATGAGTCGATTCCGGCGCACGTGGAAAGAAATGCAAATAGGTGGGTGAACGCCGAGAAACTCAAAATT